TTTATATAAAAGTTATCTTATCATTCTTTCTGCATTCCAAAAGTAATATAAGGCCAATTTCAAAGTAGAATTAAGGATTGGGTATGAATTATCATTAATGAGTTACAGATATATTTTTCTCATTCTTAGTTTGCTTAAAATGTCAACTTTTAGCTACCTCATTATTTAAACAAAACAAGACAGTGGAATAAGTAGAAAATTCTGTCTACTTGCTAACTATAGTTGGTGACATTCTGTTGCAGATGTTGTGGGGGCAATGGCATGCTTTAGGGAATAAACTGAATTTAAAGCACAAGTTCTTCAGTTATTTTTCATGTATTTTCCCTTTGTCCCCACCTATATTATGTATACCTTCTCAGGATGGTGGTGGAACAGGAAAAAAGTTTGGCTCATCATCCCCCCATTAAGTACCTATGAAGATATTTAAAAAGCAAAACAGAAACTTGTAGCAGTTCTGAAACTAAAAACAAAACAAAATAGTCAAAGATTGGAGGCAAAGTGCAGGGAGAAATTCATTAGCAAGAGTGGATGAAAAAGCACAGTCTTGAATCCCATTTATTTATTTTACTTTGTGAACCTAACTCAGGCAAAAATATCCAAAGAATTCTGAAAAGATTCATACCCATGCCCACAGAGGCTAGACAGCAGGCAGCTATTCACTAAGGAACTACCGTTTTTGATCCCCCACTAGCCCACTTAGCGCTTGTATTTCCAGATCATTTCAGAGGCTAAAGTACCCCAAATACGTAAGGCAAGAGATTAGAGAAGGTTTGGAAGATGCGTATAGCATCCGCAGTGAAGCATGGTGGGAGCTAACAGTGCTAGAAAATGTACTGTAGAGCTTTTATAGGAAACAACAAATGGTTGATTGTTCAGAGAACCCTGCCCAGACTGTCCAAGCCCAGACTGACCTGCCAACCCCAGTGAGGAGGATGTTTGTTAGAAAAACAGATTTTGAAATTGGGTTTTGGGTACATCAGTCTTTATGTGAAGTTCAGGTGACTGAAAAAAAAAATCCAGCTATCCAGTTTGCTGCCAAAATGCCAGTCCTGATAAATCTCTTTCTACCTTGGTAATAAACATGAAGTTAAAAAAGGGGAAGTTGTGTGGTGTGGAGGGGGGACTATGAAAGGACAAGGCAAGGCATGATGGTGCATGCCTTTAATCTCAGCATTTGGGAGGCAGAGGCAGGAGGCTCTTTGTAAGTTTGAGGCTTGCTTGGTCTACATAGCAAGTTCCAGGCCCACTAGGGCTATATAATGATACATTGTCTTGAAAGAAAGAAGAAAGAAGAAAGGGCAAGATAAAATGTTGCCTTGAAGATTTAGAAGGAACACCCAGTCCTGAAAATGACTTTTGTGTAATAGACATTTGAAGGCAAGTTGTCTGCTTTATCTCCTGAAAGAGAAGCATAGAGATATGTCCTCACAGGCATAGAACAAGCTGAACCAGGGCAACAAATGCAGGAGCTGACTGAGATAAGGAAAGATGAAGAAACCTAAAATGGAGCAAATGAAGAACAAAATGTATACAGTACTTTTGAATAATTCACTCATTAAATGTTCATTAAATATTGAACACTTAGTATATGCCTTCTGTACTAGACATTGGTGATACAGTAATGAGCAAAACAGATTAAGCAGTTGTGAAAGATCCACCTAAAATTTGTAATGTTTATAGTGTAAAATACTAGAAAAGTAGGAGTAAAAAAAATCTTTAAGGTTATTAGAAGAAAATTTTTCTAATTTCAATGATTTTCAGATATTAGTTCAGAGGACAAACATGTATTTCTAGATAAAGTCAGATAATTTCTTTTTTCATCTCAAGGAAAAGTCCTAAAATAATCTAGGTATAGAAAATAAATTATCTACTTTGGAACAAAAACCAAAGTGAACATAGACTTCTTTTCTGTAGCACTAAATCCCAGACACCATCATACCATTCATAGCTCCTTGCTTAGAACCCCCTGTGCTATTGTTTTTTTATGTTAGAAAGCAGTAGGCTTTCTGTAAGAGGGGTAGGTGCATGTGTATGCATGGATGTGTATGGAGGCCATAGAAGAACCTCAGATGTTGTTCATCAGGTGTTCCACCTTGCTTGTTTAGACAGGGTCTCTCATTGTCAGGAAGCTTCCCCAGTAGGATAGGCAGACTGTCCAGTGAGCTCCAGGGATCTGTCTGTCTCTGCCTCCCCAGCCCTGGAATTACAAGCTCATGCCACCACATTTGGCTGTTTTACATGGATTCTGGGGATCAAATTCAAGGCCTCCTGCTTCCATGGCAAAGCACTTTATCAAGTGAGCTAAGCCTTCTTTTTAAAGTCCTTAATTTTCTTCCTCTTGGAAAACTATCTACTATATGGATTTATTATGAGACAAATCATTCCCAGTAAGCATATAGGTTTACAGTGTTGATGTAAGTGGCACTTTCCAGGGCATTTCAATGCTTAACAAGCTTGCAGGGAATCTGTAAGAATGCAAGGTTTCCTTCCCCTATTTTTTTTCTTTCTTTTTCTTTTTTTAATCTCTACAAAATAGGGCATTCTAAGCATGCCCTTTACCACTGAGCTGCATCCACAGCCCTTCCAAAAACTTTCTGCCTGCTCACTCACTGTACCTGGTTGAGGATGTTCACATGACAGGAAAATAGGGTACCACCCTAGAAAATTATTCAGAGATACACCATGGCAGAGCAAAATATTAGTACAAATCAAGCATTCAAATATGTGGAAATCATTGGAGAAAAGAACTTAGTAATTAGTGAAACCAATTGAATATGTAAATAAACATAGGTGAGATATAATAGCCTGCATGTGTATAGTTCTAAGTTGGGTTTAACAGCCAAAACCTATTCTCAGTTTTATTTAACAAAGTGACATAAGAAAATCAGGATCTATAACTCTAGATTAATTTAAAAGTTTAAGATCCCAATAATCCAGTGAAAAAGCAGGTCAATAGCCTTCACTAGATAGAGATGGTAGAAAAACTCTGAAAGCAAATCTATAATGCGTATATAAGGATGCTAGGATATAATACATAAATCCATACTAAAGGGGACTGGAAAAATTGGTTCAGCATTTAGGCACCATATTAAATCTAGAATTCCTCACTTTGTCATACATTAAAATAAATTATAATTGGATAAATATTTTAGGAATGAAATCATTAAAATATCAAGGTGCAAGGCTGGAGAGATGGCCTTGCAGTTAAGATCACTTGCTGCTGTTGCAAAGGACCTGAGCTGCAGAGGACCTTCTATAACTCTAGTCCCAGGGAATCCGACACCGTCTTCTTGACTCTAGGCACTGCATATATACATGGTATACATAGATGTAGGCAAAAGAGTCATATACATAAAATAAAAATAGTAAATCTTTTTAAAACATCAGGATGCATAAATATGAGTAAATAGCTATGCTCAAGTAAGGACTTTGTGCACAAAAATAGTGGACAGAAGGCCGAGCGTGGTGGCGCACGCCTTTAATCCCAGCACTCTTGAATCATTTTTCTATAAACTGAAGGATATAAATATATAAATAATCAGAACATAAAACAGGATTTCAGTCAGTTATTAGCATGCACTATGCTGCATTTACTGAAGGCGCAGTGTTTCACAGTAGTCTTTTCAACAGTAATAAAATATTCTAAAGTTGCTTTTTAATGGTAGCCAGTAATAAATGTTTATGTTATTTTTAATAATAGGAAAAGTGAGGGCCAGTGAAGAAAATTAGGTATGGTAAAGGGAGGCAGAAGCAGGTGGATCTCTGTGAGTTCAAGGCCAGCCTGGTCTACATAGTGAGTTCCAGGATGGCTGAGGCTACAGGGAGACCCTGTCTTAAAAAAACCAAAAAAAAAAAAAAAAAAATAGTGGGCCGAATTACAAAGACCTATTATATATCAGATTTGATTATGTAATAATAAGTTATATTCCACAGTACTAAAAACCTAAGTAGTTCAAGGATCATTGCAAACTGGAGATATTTTGGCAACAAGTTTTCACCCATGAATTAATAAGAAAGATATTTACCTTGGTAGATCTCATTGCATTTACTAGGTGATATAAAACTTCTCTGATCAGGGTCAGCGAGATGACTCAGTAGGTAAACGCACTGGGACCCACATGATGGACAGAACTGACCCTCAGAAATTGTCTTTTGTCCTCCACTCATATACTGTGGCATGCACTCCCAACTCCCAATACGTAAATAAATGTAATAAAAATTTAAAGAAAACTTCTCCATTAAATGAAAAAAAAATTTAGGTAACTGTGTTGTTTTGGTACTGATTATAGATTGGGTGTTCTTATATACTGCTGAAGGGAGATGGGAAATGATGTGATTTGGAATTGTCAGTTTGGTGGTATGTATTAGGAGATTTAACATTAACAGCCTTTGATCCAACTATTTTACTACAAAATTTACTCTGGAAATGAAGATACAGATGTTGAAGTATGTTCATTGAGTGACGACTTAAATAACAACCCGTTAGAAATGGAAGCTTTCAAAATTGTTTTGCTCGCAGGTCAAAATGTTACTTATACAATATGAAGTGACATACAAAACAGTGTATAATAACAAGGTATACAATATTATGATGCCAAGTAGACAACACAGATTTTCTGGAAGAAACCATCCCAAATTGTTAAAGAGTTTATGAATATTTTTGGATGTCTCCTTTGGACATGTTTTCTTCCTTTTACATCCTGTACTTTTGAAGACATTGACAGTTCTAATTTCTGTTTCATGTGTAATATAACAATCATCTGCTCTTTACCCCCTTGCCCCTCCCCTTTCCCCTTCTCCCTCCTTGGCAATGCCTGGAGGTTGCTAAGAGTGGATTTCTGAACAACAACAAAACAAAACAAAACAAAACAAAACAAAAAAAAAACGGGTGGGCAGGAAAGATGATCTTTGTCTCTGCTCCTGTGTCCCCAGGCAAGTGTAATCCTAAATTGGAAAAACATTAGAGAATGACTTTCCCTCTGCCTCTTTTTCCTTTGCAGGAAACACATGAAATTGTGGCAATCAAGAAATTCAAGGACAGTGAAGGTATACATGCATTTTTTCCTTCTTTTTTCTAAATAAAATGTGGGAGAGGAGGGATTTACTTGGTTAGACCCCATCCTTGAGGTTTAAAAGTCATTTCCTCAGGGAGTGAATACAATTTATTTCTTGTTGTGTTTTGCTTTGAAACATTTCATATCTCATAATATTAGAAAAATTATTTAAGTTATAATCATTCTTGGAACTCTTGCTCCAAAGTTTAGATCGATGTCTTTTTAACTGCCTGTTTCCATGTAGATTAAAACAGAAAAGCTGATTCAAAAAGTACTTCTTGTGAGTGCTATGACAGGCTTCAGCATTGGCCGCTGTGTTCTCCAGCTCCTAGTCAGAAGAAGAAATGCAAGGCTAAGTGGGAGATAGTAGGGAGAGGATAAATTTATATTTAGAATCATTTATTGAGATAATAAAACCTTTTCACAAAGAAATAACCATATTTGGGAGCCTTGGTCACACAACTAGACTAATTCAAATGGGAGTATTAAAATTCTCTGCTGGTCAAGGAAATTTGAAATAAAGCATTTTACTAGTGCATTTGTTTTGGAATCTTGACAGTTGACTGTTACCCATCTAAAGATAGCCAAGGAAAAAAAAACTGATAATGAAAGACTATATGCCTCTTCAGGAGCTCTAGGCAGCATTTTTTCAAGCTTGTTAGACCAAAGAGATATTCTATACCCTAGCCAATTTTCAAACACATGCTATATTATATTGAAGCAAAAGTATTACAAACTCTCATACTAGTGTAAGGTACTTCATTTTCTGCCTCTCCTGTTTATATAAACTCATAAAAATACCTCTTGTTGCATCAGACACAAGGAGTTGCCACCTCCCATATGAAAAGCAGTAGGTCTAGGGGTAAAACATATCAGCATAGCCTCAGCCTCTGTAGCTAATGAGAAGCCTGAAAATAGATGGCATAGCCTGGCTTCATCAGTGCACGTTTACTAAGCAGTGTACGACATCAGCTTCTATATTTATAAACAGTTTTATCACCCTAGCCTCAGAGGCTTAGGAAGCATGAAATAACAAACAGGGTTTGCTAATAAGACTCCTAGGATAGATTCAGGAGTATTTGATAAAACGGAATCATGATGTCCTAGTTTTGTGGAGCACATGCATATCATGCAGGACCTTGAACAGCCATTGTGAGGGCAGTCTTAAAGGGAAGCCACTGGAGAAATGCTTTTAGTTTATTCTTGAAGGTGGCATGCTTCAAACTGTGTGCCTGTGGTCTTCTGGTGTAAAGGAAGCAGTTGCCCTGGCCAGCCCACTGTGAGACCCTTGGAAATAGGCTCTTTGAGCAGTGGCTTTGGCTAACGACAGGTGGTCCAGAGACAAATGGTGATCTAAAAAGAGTGTTTGCAACAGTAGATCAAAACACATCACCTTTGCAAGTGTGTTGAGATCTCTGATGCTGCATTTGCCTTTAAAGACACATTGGGAAGTAGCCATTGCCACCAAAAGTATTGTCATCAGAGTTTTAAAAATTGTTCTTTTTTACATAGGGTCTCATGTAGCCAAGGCTGGCTTAGAACCCTGGGAGATCTAGTACTGCCTTCTATGCCTTTACTCTCTTCCTCCTGCACGAGTAATGTCTTAATAGAAAGAAAGGCTACTCATATAGGGATCAATCCTTTTGGAATATGAAGTATACATAAATAGTTTGAACGCCTTTGTAAACTATTCTAATTCCAAGTCAGTTTTATTTTCTTAAGTTTCAATGAAGTTTATCATAATAAAAAATAAAGGTATCATGATAATATTGTCCTTACTGTGTAATAGCTCTCAAACATCCTTTTTAATAGTTCCCTGAAAATACTCTTTTGATATTATAATAGTGATTGCTCTAAAGGTCTTTGTGAAAATAAATGAAATCATTCTGTTAAAACAATGTTAAACTGTGTTAGAACTATACTTGGTCTGAATGGCATTCAACTTAATTATTCTATCAATAATTATATCTCTTATTGATATATAAAGAGAGATATTTTGAAGAATATATATTACCTTCTGGTAGCTTTGAAAAAATTATGATAGTATCCTACTGTCATGTTATTTGTATAGATCCATAAATTGGTGTAAAAATTTTTGGGGACTATATTTTAAGGTAGACCAATTTTTAGTGCAAAAGATCTTTATTATACCAGGATAATTAATCACTATTCAAATTGGGAACCAAATTTTTATAGTAAATAAAAAATTACAGTGGTACTTTAATTGGAAAAGTTAAACCGAAATTATGAAAATAGTTTTGCTTTATAGTAAACAATTTAGATTATAATAGCAACTATATATTACTTTAGTTCTTAGGAGAATCAATTACTATCTTTTGGACAGTAGGGTCAATTTTTACAGCAAAATCATATATTAGGTCATATACTCAGTCAATAATACACACATACAAAAGGCTTTGTCAGTTTTCTCTTCTTTTTAAGAGAAAATATTTCTGTCTTTCTAACTTCTTGGGTTTTTTTTTTTTAGATTTTAGTTTTTATTCTCTGATTACTAGCTGATACAGCTCTGTTAGATCATTTATCAGTGTCTTCTTGTGATATTCCCTGGAAGACTTTGATACTGTGAGTGCGTATAGAAACTTCTGTTAAGAGGAAAGAATATAGACTGGAATGTGGCTCAGGGGTAGAATCTTGGATTGAATTGCCAGCCCCTTTTCCCCCCAAAATGAAAAGGAGTGCTTGAGTGATAACAAAGTTTTATCTGAGATTTATTCATTTGTTAGGTTTTTTTTTCCCTTGTGTTAATGGCTTCTGCTTCTTGACATATCATCATATATCTGACATTTCAGAGAAATTTTAGCAGTACTCTGAGTGATTATGTAAATTTATCTCTTAATGCACACTTCACCAAAAAGCATTAACTATCAAACACCTAACCAACCAGAGGCTCCATTGAATTAGTTTTGTTCATTATTTGGATCTTCTAAGAGGAACAGAAAATTACCACAGATTACAAAGATACTGGAGACTAAGTTAGTTTTCATACTATGTGCAATTATTAATTTATCCTAATTCTCTTAACCTTCCTAAAACTGTGGTCTTGCACAATAAAATTTTATATTCAGATAGTAACCAACATATCATTTTTAATTACATTTAATTACATTCATTTTGTACGTGCATGCGTGTGTGTACGTGCGTGTGTGTGTGTTGTCACACGTGGAGATCAGAGGACAACTTGTTGGGAGTAGGTTCTCTCCTTCCACCATGTGAGACCTAGGTATCAAACTCAGGTCATGAAGCACACAACAAGCACCTTTATTCATTGAGCCATCTTGTAGGCCCTGAATCTTCATTTTTATGTATTGATATATACCAGTGTCTCCTGCCCCAAATTTATTAAATAATCCAGGAATACAATTTTAAACTGAGTAGTTTTATACTAGTAATAATTTTAAAATGCTGTCTATTAAATGTTAGTGTTAGAATCTGTGGTCAGAATTTATTTTTAACCTATACTTGGAGCCTCCTTTTGATTCCTTAGACTTTCCTTGAAGAATGAGGTTTCCTCTCAACTTAGCACTGGGCCTCAATTCATGGCAAGGAGGCTAACTTCAGGGAGTTGTGCAACTGCTCACATTTAATAAGGAGTTCAGGTTGCATCTCTGCTTTCATATAAAATATAATTGCTTGCATTTTCTATTCTGCTACTGCTTGTTTCCTATAGATAAGTGTTTTTTTTCTATTGGAATGAACATATTTATTCCTTTTAATTATTATGAAATGTTTAGTTAATCATTTAGTCTTTCCACCAATAGATTTCATTTTTATTTTTACCTAGACACTAGAAAGGTCTATACTGATCTCTTGTTTTGTATAACAGTATAAAGCAAGAGCCTGAATTCTCTATAAGAGGAGCCTTGAAACAAAAATTCCAACCATAGATTAAATAAAGAATTTGAGGGACCAGAGAGATAGCTCAGAAGTTAAGAGCGCTGGCTGCTGGGAACTGAACCCAGGTCCTCTGTAAGAGCAGCCAGGGCTTTTAATGCTGAGCCATCTCTCCAGCACTCACATGGCAGCTAACAACTGTCCATAACTCCAGTTTCAGGGAATCCGATGTCCTCTTCTGACCTCTACAGGTATTGCACGACATGGGTGCACTTACATGCGGGCAAGACACTCATAGACATAAAATAATAAAATTTTTAAAAGTTGAAAAAAAAGATTTTGATTAGCTGACCTTAAGCATCCTGGCTCCTCTTGAACTCACTGCACTTCCTTTTCATGTTCAAGCCACATCCCTTTCAAGCCTCGGGGAATCTTATAAAATTTGGTGACTACTGTGAACCCTTTGTGATTTCACAAATTTCTTCTACCCTTTTACTTGCCCTTCATCTCTGAAGATTGAAGCATATTCATCTTTTTTGGTACATAAAACAGTAGTCCAACCATTCAAACCTCTGTGGCCACATTGATTGCCCTGCTGCTGCTGTCCGTTCTTCAGTCAGAGGAAGCAGAATCAAACATGGTACCCCTATGGTTTTGTTCAAGGATAGATTGACTCGTCTTTTCCATTATGTTCATTTTTAAAGATCTGTTTTGGGGGCCTCTTTGGCTATACAAAAGTGTCAGGTTTGTGATTTTACAAAGTAGGTTATGGATATTTCTGGATTTCTTTTCCAGGCCCACAGTTCTTTAAAAATAGGGTTACAATAGCATTTCTGCTGATCTTTAAGTGTTTTTTCTTTTTCTTTTCATCACTGACTTATCTTTGAATTTCTTTTGCTCTTGTGAGCTTTTTCCTTTAAAAATTGCTACTTTTTATTTTAGTGAATCTCTTGATTTTTAGGTATATTGACTCACCGGTAAGTCTATAGAAGTAGGTCAGATTTTTGTTTGTTCTTTTTTTCTCCTGTGTCACTTTATACTCACTGGGTTGAGTGATATACTTACTGCACATACATAACTTTGGCAGAATTGCTTTTGCCAAACCCTTTCAGTGGTAATGTTTTTTGTGAGGGTATTACTATATAGCCTGGGCTGGCTGGAAACTAACTAAAATTTTCATATTCATCCTCTCTGTCTTTCTCTGTCTCTCTGTCCCTCTCTGTCTCTCAGTCTCTCTCTCTCTCTCTCTCTCTCTCTCTCTCTCTCTCTTTCTCTCTCTCTCTCTCTCTCTCTCTGTATTTTGAAACAGGGTCTCACTCTGTAGTCTACACTGTCCTAGAACTCCCTGTTTAACTTAGGCTGGCCTGGAACTTGTAGCAATCCTCCTACCTCAGCCTCCTGAGTGCTTGGATTACAGGTAGGAGCCAGAGTGCTTGGCTTCCATCAGTGGTAACTGATGATGAGGTCTGTCAGCATGTACATAAGCAACTATAGAAACATTGACTCAGAACTAGAAGAGACTTTCACAATAAACCAGTGTAATTCCAGCCCCAGCTTATAGGTGAGGAGGTGGTATGTGATTAACTGAGCTAAAATGCAGATCCAGAATCTTCATTGACTTTTTCTTCCTCCCATACTATTTAGTTGGCTACTTGGCTTCAGCAGCAAGCCAAATAGCTGGGTCTAATAACAGTCTAGGCCTGAACCTGGGTATTGTTACTCATTCTCCAAAGTTCAGTGTGTTACACCATGCCTCCTAAGTTCCTATTTTTAACTCAGACTATAGGGTTGAATGTGACTCTTGGTCCTTACACCCCGAGACAGTTAGCTGTTCATTTAAGCCTTGGCTTCTTTATTTGTGAACTGGAGGAGGCAGTATAGAGAGCCCATGAGGATTATTTTAGCTAGTGATTTTGGATTGTGTGTGCTTGTTTCAGTGACTTATACTACCACCTTTAAAATAGCTTAACTGAGATGCTTTGCTCCTTTCTGCTTGTCTAAAGAGAGGGGCACATGCCAGCAGAATGTGCATTCCTTTTCTCCATTATCTCATCATTTTGTGCCACAGTTTTCATTATAAAGTATAGAATAGGCTAGAAACATTTAAAATACTTGCAGAAACAAAATTATAGGGTGTTCCAAGTAATGAAGAACGCAGTTTGCTTGCACTTTGCACTTTGGGAATTAACAACTCCATTTCCTGACTCCATTTTCTGCTTGTTCCCAGTCATTATCATCTTAATGCTCAGGAGCTTACCTATGGCCTTCATTACCTATAAAGGCAGCGCAAATGAGGTTTTGGCACTACATGCTATGTGATTTACTCTATTTCTGGTTCTCCCTCCACCCCTTTCCCCAATTTAATGTACTCTGTCATATATATAAAGGCCTGTAGTGTTCCCCAAATGTCCTTCAGTGTCCCTTGGAGCCTGGAAAACCTACCAAGAGTCCCATGCTTGAGAGACTGTCGGGCCTGAGCATTTCAGATAAGAGGCATTCCACTTGTATCAGGAAAAATAATGAGAAAAAGTCCAAAGTGTTTTAATAAAGAATAGTAGGTTGAGGAATCATCTTACTTTTGAGGGTATAGGAAATCTTCTTGAGGTAAGAGGTTTTATTAAAAACTTGAGGAAACCAGCTCTGTCAAGAGCCAGGATAGAAAAATGAGCATTGTGAGTCCAGAGGACAAGTGCAAAGAATTGCTATGCTAAAAGAATTGAGAGTGAGACTGGGGAACTAAAAGGTTAAAATAAAGGGGGGTATGTTACTGGGGATCCTGACATAGTTTCTGGTTGTTCCCAGGCTGTAGCAGCTGGGGCTACTCTAGCACTCAGAAGTTATAAAAGACCACTAAGTTGTACAACAGCTGGTAATCTGTCCCCTAACAATCCTCTGAACCACTTCAAGAAGTCACTTGATTATATCTCATCCATTCCCCTGTCATGTGGGATGCACTGCCATGCTCTTCTTCTCACTCAGGATGGGCCACTGTTTCTGCTATTGTTGGCCTTCCCTACTGCTGGTTCTTCTCTTCACATAGGCATCATCCATGTTCTTTTCTAACTTATGTACTAGAAATCTCCAAATCACAAAGGAGTGTTGACTTTATGTTCCCTGATTGTCACAGATTTACCAGTGCTACAAAGCCCCTGTTTCTATTACAGTCTCTCCTTTAAAATTCAGTTTGAAAGGGGGTTGGAAGAGGAGACTGGAGAGAAAATCAGCTGATAAGCATTCCTTCTTGTGCATTTAGACTCTTCCCCTTTCCTCATGCCCCACTCCCATTTAGCCTTTTCCTTCTCGGGTACCTTGTGTAGAAAGTATATCTTCCCAAAAGGTATGGGTTTTCTTTTCCCTGTCCCATACTTCATTTTCTTCCCCTTTAGACTTAAAAGATATGGCTAACATGATTTCTAACCCTAACCAAAGCTTTGAGGTCAAATGTGTTTTAGAATTCCTAACAAGTTTTAGAATGGAAATATGGCGTATTACATTGCACCCTGTAATCAAGGCATATTTCTATAGCACTGTTATGAATATTCATAGGAAGTGGGTTAAACAAAGAGCATAAATAGTCTCATATTGATTCAGTTTTGCCTCTGAATGAATTTGTTACAAACTTAGAAAGGGCTCCTTTTTCGGATTGTTTGAAAATTTGAAAATTATGAACCTGTACCCATGAACATATATATTGAAAATACACAGACTTTCCAAGTTACCTCTGAAGCTATCATAACCACACATTTGAAGTCAAATGTTACTCTATACATCCGTTCCCATCAATCTGCTAAAGTTCATTTGACTTTTGTCCTTCTTCCATGTCATGGAGGTGATCACAACTGAAATTGATGGTATGGAAGGGCAGATACTGGTTCAGCATAAGTTCTCCATCCCAGAACAGCTATACCATCTGGGATGGACAGATGGACATGCCATGGGAAGGCAGCAGGGCCCATACTAGCTGCTGTTCAGAGAAATCAGACACTCTTAAGAATCCCTGCAATTTGGCCATGAACAGCATTGTGAATGCCTGATCTATGACCTCTACTCATTGAGGTGAGTGACTCCCAAGCAACTTGAGTCAGAAAATGGTTTTCTAAGCCAAAGCATCAAGCCAAACTTAAGGTGTTGACTGCTACAGATGCTGGCTGCAGAACGGCTCCTCTTCCAATTGATGGGACAGATTCTCATGACCCTTTGAAATACTTTCTTCCTCAGTACAGAATGTTAGGGCTAAAATGACAGTGAATTCATGTTCTATCTATAAACCTGTGGTTTTGCACATACTTTATACAATAAGAAATATAAAAAATGAGCAGAAAATTGGGCTTACACTATTCAAGGAAGCCTTTTCTTTGTTGTTTATCTTGTTTGAGGCATTTTTTGGTACTGCATAATTCAGGATGACCTGGAACTTGCAGTCCTCCAGTCTCAACCTCCTGAGTACTGGGTTATAGGTGTGCACCACCAAATTCAACTAAGCCTTTTAAGTTTTTTACTTTCTATCCTTTCAGCAAGAATTTATGTTAATATTCTATCTAGGACTTAAATAGAATTTGTTTTCATTGTTCTTAAAACTTTTTGAGTGTAGTTGAAAGCTTTAATCTTTTCTCTTCACCATTGTTTATATTCTAGAAAATGAAGAAGTCAAGGAAACGACTTTGCGAGAGCTTAAAATGCTTCGCACGCTCAAACAGGAAAACATTGTGGAGCTGAAGGAAGCCTTTCGTCGGAGAGGGAAACTGTACCTGGTGTTTGAATATGTTGAGAAAGTAAGCCATGAATTAGCAATGTTCAGATTTGCCTAGCTCTTTTGTTTCTGACACTATTGAAAAAAGCAGGGTTAATTAGTATGACCTACCAATGCATTCATAATCTGAGGGTCAAAAATGAAAATATCCATAGTCACTAGAAGTCCTGAAATAGATTTAGGGATTTTATGCAAGTTAGGAGTATTCCAATAATCTCGTTTATACAGTACAGTGGTATGGCTTCTGAAGTCTTAGAATCTATGCCCAATAAGTAACTTTTAGATTAGAGTTATTTCAGTTAAACCAGAACAAAGGCTTTGAGGAAGAAATAGGCAAATGAACAATATGATAAAGGATGATAAAGGTACTGATCAGATCCATGTAAACATTAGCTAGGTCTCTGAATTGAAACTAGAGTGGTGAATGAGCAAAGTAGAAGCAGCCATTTGTGAGCTGCTAGTGCTTTGGCCTTCTTGCAGGAAGGGGTTTTGCCGGGAATTGTAAGGTGAGGCCAGAGGCTGTCATTAAGATCACTAGTAAAAGGTCAACTCATTAGTGGCCATTTTAATATTGTGACCTAAGGGCAAAATATTACATGTCTCAGGATTTCTTGGAGAGCAACTGATGTCTAGCAGTTGGTTTTGGCTGGTTATAGTAGGAGAAGCTGGAGCCAGAGGAGCCTGTTGGAGGTTTCCTTGCCATGTAAAAAGGTTGCTTCTGATAACCTCTTACATTGTTATCTAAACACAGATTAATACAGGAGAGGCTTCTGTTCACTGTAGGTCAATTTCCAGGTGTCTGTTATGGCATAAGTGATAAGAAAGCATTGTCTTCTGGATGACTGACCAGTAATTTTACATTGAGTTCATTCAGCCTTTACAAATTGTTTTTTTAAAATAAATAGTATAAAATAGTAATTTACTAGTAAAACTTCAAAAATATACAAGGCTCTGTCATTTTAATCCAGTGCTTGTATGTTACTTTTCCAAAACTCTTATTTCTCTTTTTGTGTCAGTTTCGGTATTCCCCTACAGTAATTTCCCTATCAAAATAAAACTAATTTAAAGAAGAAAGTTTTAAGATAAGGATGGCTGTACTAGGATTACAGGGAAAAAAAAGATTCTCTATTTTCTAGTTGTCACAAATACTCATGCAGTTTTCAGCTTTCAGTGCCAAATAATAAAATTTGACAAATCCAGTATTCCTATTTGTCTTTTTTATTTTTTCTATTTGTGGTTATTTTTCATGATAAATAACAATTTAGTATAACAAATAGAGAGATCTCCTCTGAGTGTCTGCTTCCTCACTGGGAGAAGCAGTTTGGCATATCTGAAATAGCTCTGCTCATACATGGCAGAACTGCTATCAGTATTGCAGTCTTCTGACACTGAGACCTAGGCTTCTTTCCCTGTCCCTGTGGTTTCTGGATGGAGGCTAATCATACCTGTCTACCAGTGGCAGTGCCCAGCTATCAGCATTATAGTGCCTTAAACAAAATAGGAATTCTTTCTCCCTCACAAACACATACGAAGGGATTCAGCACAGGACTGAATGCTTGCACCGCTCCACAGTCATCGGAGCCTCTTACACCAGGTTGCTTCTTCCTTTTTGCTCCACCATTTATAAAATAGACGGTCCTTGTCTTTAATGTCAACTTCAGCTGTCAGATCATGTTTGCCAGGACATAGTTACATGGTCACACTTGCTGCAAGGCACAGAGGAAATGTACTCTTCATTCTAGGGAGCTAGGTCAGTGATTGAAATTGTATTCATTTTAGAATGAGGTGGAATGATTATGGAGGATGGTATAGTCTCTGCCACTCAGGAGTCTAGACTAGAATGTGAACTTAGAGAGCTGCCATTTTCTGCATTACTAAGCCCTTGTAACCCTTCTTGTTCTTGGCACCTCCTACGAATTTGTTAATTGAATAAAGGAAATTCACATAGAGATTTTTAAAAGAAGCATACATTCTTTCAACATTTTATTTTGACTGAAACCACAACTGTACATTTAACCCTCTCTAGAGGTAGGTCAAAGTGTTTTGTATGTTGATCTGATTAATGTTCTCATTGGTCTTTCTTACATATATCATGCTGATAAATGCATCTTTAAAGGTGAGCAAAAGCTCTAAAAACATTTACAAAGCAATCTGAGTGCAGGGTCTGTCAATATTTATGCTTATCACCACCAGCACCTGTTCCTTATCAGTGTTTATGCACGTCTCTCATCACTGACTAAACAATAATGCCTTTTGTAGCTATCTTCCAAACAAGCAGATTGTCTTTTTATGCACAACAGCTCTCTTTTTAAAGAAACATTAGTTTGGTGGTTGATAATGATATTTAATTATATTAAAATTTTTGGGAACTTTTACAGTTTTTATGTGGGTTTTATCTATTAATGTTTCTCATATTAGGCAAAAATTAGCATTATAAAATTTGTTTGGGGCTGCAGTTGTAGCTCAGTGGAAGAGTGCTTGCCTAGCAATGCAAAAATGAAAAAAAAAACCCACAATAATAAACCCATTAATGTTAACATAAATAGATTTGTATGTTGGTTTTTCTTTCAAATAAAAAATGGTATATCATGGAGCTGGAGAGATGACTTAGCAGTTAAGAGCATTGACTGCTCTTGCAGAGGACCTGGATTTGAGTCCCACCACCCAGGTGGCAGCTAACAAGTTCTGTAACTCGAGTTCCAGGGGATCTGATGCCCTTTTCTGACCTCCACGGGCATTGCATGACACAGGTGCACTTACACACGTGCAGGCAATACACTCATTCTCATAAAATAAAAATAAATATTTTTTTTAAAAAAATGGTGTATCACAAAAAGTGACTAGTTCAGCCTGTATCTCGGTCAGCCAGTAAGGACATTCGAGGTTCAGATGGCTCATGTTCAGCACAGGTGCTTTATGTGGAATCTTGACTTACCATATAGATTTTTTTTTAGGATTATAAGATTTTATTGTTAAAAACATATATATATATATATATGTGTGCAATTTGCATATCATATGATAATGGTAACTTCTTGAACATACAACTTGCTATGACTGGATTAAAAATATAGAAAATTTATGTTAGACATATGAGATTTAATCAGTAATAAACATTTCTCAACAAAGAAAAGCCCAACATGACTTCCTTGATAAACTGACTATCGAGCCTCATAGATTTTTCAAATGATTTTGTACAAAACTACCAAAGTCTTTCATCAAATTGTGTATGTAAAAGCAGGTATTTACATGAAATAAAATAGTTTGAAGTAGGACCCTTACTTTATATCATACAAAACAATTCACAATGAACCAAGCAAGTAATCACTAGTCTAAAGTTAGAAAAGCACAAGAGGAAATACAGAAGGACAGCTTCATAATACTGAATGTGGCAAAGATCTCAGACTCTAAGATCTGACCACAAAAAGATTTTATAGATTCTTAAAAAGGCTTATGTTCTAGTTTAATTTCTGTTTGTGTGACAGAATACCCTGACCAAAAGCAACTTAAAGGAGAAAGAGTTTATTTGGCTCACAATTCCAGGTTACAGTCCATCGATGCAGGGAACTCACAGTCATGGGCTTGAAATGCTAGTCACATTATACCCATAGTTAGGAGCAGAGAGAAATGCGTGCATGCATGCTTAGTGCTCAGCTAGCTTTCAGTACTATTATATAGTCCAGGGTGCAAAATCTGGAAATGGCACCACCCACTTTCAGGCTAGGTCTTTGCACATCAATTAAGGCAGTCAAGACAATCCCCCACAGACATGCCCAAATGCCAATCAGATCTAGATAATCCCTCATTGAGGAATTTACTCACCTTCCCAGATGATTCAGCATTGTGTCAAGTTGACAATTAAAACTTAGCTATCAGAGCATGTACTGAAGAAACAGAATTTCGTAAAAGTAGTATTTTCTACTGCTTCACCAAGGACATCTTTAACAAAAGCTGCTGATTTTTGTTTCTTTCTTTTTTTTTTTTTTTTTTTTTTTTTTTGGTCTTTTTGAGACAGGGTCTCCCTGTAGCCCCAGCTATCCTGGAACTCACTATGTAGACCAGGCTGGCCTTGAACTCACAGAGATCCACCTGCCTCTGCCTCCCAAGTGCTGGGATTAAAGGTGTGCACCACCATACCCATCTTTTGTTCCTTTTTAATGGAGTAGCATGGATGGGTCACTTGGATTGAAAAATCCTATTGTCTTGATTCACACTAATGTGCCAGCAGTTTATCTACTGTTGCCATGTACCACCAATGAGAAAGGTAGACATCTGAGGTAGTTTGACTTTCTGAACCTGTGAGTAGTATCTGATACCTCTGTATAGTCCCAGATCACATTTGGGAAACTGTCATCCTCTGGGGCTTCCTATAAACAATAAGCTAAGATTGTGTTGTGAGCCTTATTCATTGTGCTTTGCAGAGAAGATGGAGAATGTTTGGTTAATCTGCAAATTCAATGGAGACTAAGTGATGTTTTTTTGTTTTTTATTTTCTAATTATTTATTTTTATTTTATATGTATGAATGTTTTGCCTGCATGTATGTAAGTGCATCTGCATTGTACAATGCTTATGGAGGCCAGAAGAGGGCATCAGATCCCCTGGAACTAGAGTTACAGGCAGTTGTTAGAGGCCATCTGGGTTCTGAGATTCGAACCCAGGTCCTCTGCAAGAGACAACCAGTGCTCTTAACCGCTGAGCCATCTCCCTAGTCCCCTACGTTAAGTTTTGACTTGGCTTTTTTGTTGGTTTTTGAGTCAGGGTCTTCCTTGTAAGTGTTAGGATAACAGTCATGCACTACCCCTATCTGGCTTTCCATAAAATTTTACAAAATTGTCTCTGATGCTAAATTGAGATTTTTTGACTTGCTTGGTATCTGTGTACTATTTGGTCAATATTTCCTCTTTTTTACAAAATTTTAATTACTATTGATCATGTGTGTATATGTGTGTGTCAAGAGCTTGAGGTACTGTGTGTCACAGTAGATATGTGGAGGTCAGAGGACAATTTTGTGGAATCAGTTCTTCCCTTCCACCTTTACATGGGTTCTGAGGCTCAAACTCAGGTTGTCAGGGTTACATCTTTGGGCAAGAAGTGCCTTTACCAAGCACTGAGCCATCTCACTGGACCATGATAATATTTTCTTACCTGTTTTAATTTTTATACTAATTATATTGATCAATTCTAATCTTAGGGAATTTTCCCTTTTCTTTTTTCATCTAAAAAATTTTATTTATTATTTTTATTTTATGTGTATGAGTGTATTGCCTGCATGTATGTGAGTGCACCTGTGTCATGCAATGCCGCGGAGGTCAGAAGAGGGCTTCAGATTCCCCTAGAACTGGAGTTAAGGACGGTTCATAGCTGCCATGTGGGTGCTGGGAATCCAACCTGGGTTCTCTGCAAGAGCAGACAGTGCTCTTAACCGCTGAGCCATCTCTCCAGCCCCTCTTTCTTCATTTTTTTTTTAAAGACAGGGTCTCAGTATGTAGTCCAGGATGGCTGGGAACTCACTATGTTGACCAGGCTGGCCTTGAATTCACAGAGATCCACTTTCCTCTGCCTCCTAAGTGCTGGGAATAAAGGTGTACCCCACATGCCTGGCCGTTTTTTTTTTTTTTTTTTTTTTTTTTTTCATTTTAAGGATGTTATTTCAGGTTTCTCCCAGAAATAGGGTTTCAAAACTTGATTTTTTAGAAGATTTTTTTTTTGGAAACAGGGTCTCCCTGTAGCCCCAGCTGACCTGGAATTCACTAAGTAGACCAGGCTGGCCTTGAACTCACAGAGATTCTCCTGCCTCTGCCACCCTAGTGCTGAGATTAAAGGCGTGTGCCACCACATTAAAGATGCACAGCATAGTCTTAAAATGACCCCCTCCCCCACAGTACAGTGTCATATCTCCATATTATGTTGCTTTTCCCTTCAAATCATTCCGAAATGATACTTGAAAGTCTTTAGAGGGAGTAAAACGTGCACGTGGTTATGATTTGGGGCAGCAACAAAGAGGAATAAAAGTGTAACTTTTCATAAAAGAAAGCTTCCATTTAATGCAGTATACTGATGCACTGTAAACTAAGTTGTAGATGAAATACAAAACAAAAATATGCATGCTGTACACTGGATGAGTCATCATCTAAGATACTTTAGATTATTAATAATACACAATTAAAGAACTTTCTTGATTTTGGAGATGAATGGACCTGTATTTAATTTTTAGAATATGCTTGAATTGCTGGAAGAGATGCCAAATGGAGTTCCACCTGAAAAAGTGAAAAGCTATATCTATCAACTAATTAAAGCTATTCACTGGTGCCATAAGAATGACATTGTCCACAGAGGTGAGTATAGGAAATTGAAATGGAAGATACTAAAGAAATCATCAAAGTTAAAATATTTGCTTTTTTAGGGATATTTATATTTAAGTTAAATGTATTTTGAAAGTAAAGGATATGAGAAGTTCTTTGCTCTTCAAATCTCCTTTTATACCCACCAAATCATAGACCACAAATTTATTTGTATACTGTGGCAATATCACAGTCTGCTGTGAACTGTAGAAATACCTACTGATTCAACACATGCAAATGTTGATGCTTATTTGTGGTGGCAAAAGGACAATCTCCATAGCCTTTGGGTCTTACAGGTAGACCCAGGGAGTATGAACCATCTCAAAACCAGGCTTTATGAATGGTCTATAAGTCATTTACTCCCACTGGAATCCTTCTTTCTTTCTGTCTTAGATTAGTAATCTGCAGTATATGCCCTCACCTCCTGATATCTCCTCCCTTGAAAAGTGCCCTTTGTCAGCCAAAAATGTCAAAAGTATTTGGGAGCTCTTATGTAATCCCTAAAAGATTTTAGGATTACCTCGTCAGAGGGGGGAATGTTAGAGTAGCAAAAAGCTCCATAAGTTAACTGGTCAAGACTATAAAATCCCTAGTCTATGTTGGAGGACTCAGCTTTCCAATCTCACTGGTCAGTCACCTGGCGATAGAACCACCCCTAGGAAGGTAGGTTCATCTTACGTTATGCTAAATAGATGGGCAGAATACCTGGTGTGTTAATGAAGTAGCAGATTTTCCTGCCTGGAATCCTGCCTTGTAACACAGAATTCCACAGAACTTCTGACCAGCCACAGTCATGTAGGTCTCCGTAAGTCTGTCTGCTTTCTGCCGTTTGGGTCCATTCTTTAATTCTTTTATGAATGAGACTAAGAACCCTCTAGGGCTTCCCTCTGCTTCAGTACAGGTCAAAACGATGGATATTTGGTGTCTTACTTTAATTAAGAGACAAAATGACCTACTGTAACAGTATGTGAAGGTGCTTTGCAGACAATGATAGACTGGCAGCATCCTTTGAAATATTCTGGAAAAAAATTCATTTTGTACCCTTTGTATGTTCAGAATGTAGCATTATCAGAAACCCTCAAAAAATAAATAACAGTGCCCTTTGTCTGTACGTTGAAGGCATTATCAGCCTCGTATAAAGACCATGATTATACTTCCATAAGCGGTCTTACTATTTCCCTTATTGCTACAAAGTCAGTGGTTTCTAGCCATAAGAGAAATTACTTGCTCTGCATCATCTTTGACTCTATACCATTTGTCTTCTTATAATCTGTCTTGCTCTATTAAGTTTTGCAATAATTGGACACAAATTGATGCGATAGTGAAGCTAGAAATGTTTATCAGAAAACTTTGAAATGTCTACTTCTTATCTTTGAAATATCAGATAAATGCATACTGCATTTTAATTTACCTGTACAGATATACAAGAATATCACTTTTAAAATAGTCTTACTCTTGGGGCCAGAGAGATGGCTCGGCGGTTAAGAGCACTGACTGCCCTTACAGAGGACCCGAATTCAATTTTCAGCACCTTCATTATGGTTAACAACCATCCATAACTCCAGTTCCAGGGAGTCCGATGCCCTCTTCTGACCTCTGCAGACATTGCATGACACAGGTGCACTTCTATACATGTAGGCAATACACTCATACACATATTTTTTTTAAATTGTCTCTTAAGAATAGCTTAAAGTTAATATAAAGAATTCCAACTTCTGCCGATCTTAGAGACTATAGTTCTTTTATTTGACTCTCATTGTAGTTACCTTATTATCAAGGTTATGTGTCATGGACCATCTAGTGTCTAGGGTGATGGTTCTGAAAAGTCTGTGTTGTTGTTCGTGAGGATATTAATGAGGAGCTGCACTCAGTATGTTCCTTTATGAGACTGAGGTTTAATTAAATGTGTAGCCAATTAATGGTAGAAACCATGATTCCAGAATGGGGATGTAAAAGGTAGAGCATGTGTGAGACCTTGGGTTTAATCTCCAGGAATGGAAAAATACAATTCCATGATTCTGAAATCTATAGATTTCACTACCTCTGCTCTTTCCCCACTGTCCCCTCTACCATGTAGTATAGATGATAGCTACTGTGCTCTAAAAATAAAAATTTGGCTGGGCATCATAGTACATATCCATATTCTTAGCACTTAGAAGGTAGAGAAAAGAGAATAAGGCAATTCAAAGTCACCTTTGACTACATAGTGAGTTGAAAGTCAGTCTGGGATATATAAGACCCTCTCTCAAAACATAAAATTGTGAGGGCTAGAGAGATGGCTCAGCAATTAAAAGCACTGGCTGCTCTTACAGGGGACCCTGGTTCAGTTCCCAGCATCCGCAAAGCAGCAAGTAACTGCCTGTAACTCCAGTTCCAGGGAATACAATGCCCTCTTCCTACCTCTTTGGGCATTTCATGACACAGGTGCACTTACACACATACAGTCGGTACACTCATACACATAAAATAAAAATAATAGACTATTAAAAATAAAAATAAAATATAAAACTGTAGGATTCCTCCCAGAAGGATAATTTAACTTCATTTTTTGCAAATTTCTGCTCCACAACTACTATCACATCGTTACATGATCTGTGGAAAAAAATGGAAATCTTAACCTGACTCAATAGTTTGGCTTCAGCATTAACCATAGTTAGTTGTGATAAGTAAATGTAGAAATTCCATACAAAACCTTTGTTGTATTTCTTCCTCAAGTAAATAGAATGCTGTATAATTATTGTTGATGTGTATTTCTTAAGGTAACATGTAACTATAAAAATTTTTGGTTTTAATCACCAAAAATTTGTATGATTAATGTTTTACGGAGACGACATAGTTCCTTGAAATATGTTGGCCTAAATTCAGTCATTTTAAAATTTTCAGAGTTAAGGTTGTATGCTCACCATGCTTTAGGCTCTACGTTCAATCCTTAGCACAGAAAGGTAGGAAGAGTTTAATTTCCCCCCTTTGGTAATTGTGGTCTGCATGTTTCTCAAAGAGAAATTAATTGAAACTTCAAGTAGCAGCATAAAATGTCTTACTCTTCTTTATACTGCATAGTTCTCTGTTGAAATTATGCTAGTTTTAATTAGATGGAATTCCAGTGCTCTAAGTGTCAATCAGCAGAATACAGAACATTTTTACTAACTGGTTTTTAATTTTAATATTCTAGATATAAAGCCTGAAAATCTCTTAATCAGCCATAATGATGTCCTGAAACTATGTGACTTTGGTAAGTTAAAAAGAAATTGAGTCCTAATATTGAGAAAATTAATTTAATATAATGCATGAGTAGCCTTTAAAGGCTTATTAAAAGTGTTTTTATTTAAATTAGTAAAGGAACATTCAGTTGTGTCATATGCTGACAATTGATTGCTGGAAACATTCTGCTTTCTCTTTGCTATGTAGTGTATTATATATAATTCTAAAAAAAACCCATCATCTTATTTGCATCCCCAAATGTGCTTCAGTATGGGTCCATCCACTGGGACCACCCAAATTCCCATCCCTGTAAGACACTGTCTTTCCCCCTCTCAGCAGACATCAATTGCCAAAAGTTCCTTAGTTTGGGTTAAGATTTCTTTTGCACTTTCCCATGTCTAGGCTGGGATTTTGTCTGGTTTGAGCTTGCATAAGACTTGTACATGCAGTCACCATTGCTGTGAGTTGATATGAATAACTGACCAGCTGTCTGGAAAACTGTTTCCTTGTGGTCATATATTAAATTGGACAGGGGTAGCAGGGGGGAAGGTGCAAATAGGGGGAGGGATCTAAATACTATCAAACTATAGTGTATGAAAATCACAAAAAGTCAATTAAAAACAATGAATTTAAATAGACTTATAGAACATAGAGGTACAAGGGGTAGAGAGGAAACTAATGCATCTCTCAACTCTCACCAGTAAAGCTTCCTTATACAACAGAGAGCAATGCACACAGACAACAACTGGCCAAGTTTTAAAGAATAAGAGACTACAGGGTGTATATCCCTGGATAGTACTCCCCTATTGAACCTCACCTACCCATGGCTCAGAGACCATTGAGGAAGAGGGGGTGGAAAGATTTTAAGAGCCAGGGCTGGTTCATGAACACAGGGAAGCACAGGTTTTCAGGCCACTGGAAGTTTACACATGTGAACTTCTGGCAGTGGTGGCATCGATCACAGGACCCATGCCAACTCAATCAGATGATGGCCCAGAGGGGAGGAGAGAAATGGGTGGTGGGATACCCCTAGACTGAGAACTACTAGAGACTAATTGCTACTGGATGAGGGAGAGTATGCTTTTCATAAAATTTCTAGATGAGCTGACTATACTCCAGTGGACAAATTTACACTGAAGGACATCTGTGTACAAATGCTTGACTGAATAGGACTTAGCATGTATGGCAGAATACATGGGGGGGACGGGGGAGCACAGATGGAGGAGGGGGTCTAAATTTGATTAAGAACTATTGTATGAAATTACAAAAGCTCAATAATTTTTTTTTAAATCACCAGCTGGCCAGGGAGCACATGCCTTTAATCACAGCACTTAAGAGACAGAGGCAGGTAGATCTCTATGAGTTCGAGGCCACTTGGGTCTACATAGTGAGTTCCAGGTCACTCAAGATTTCATAGTGAGGCCCTGTCTCAAAAAAAAAAAAAGTCTTAGTAAACTTTGTATGCTTAGTACTCTTACTATAACTACAAGATTCTATCTTTTTAAGATTCAAGGTGACAGAAGATACAAGGTGACTAAAATTTGTAAAGCAGGTATAAATACAAAAGAAATGTCAACAGAATGGTTAATAATAGGAAAATATCACTCCTAATTTAGTGTTATTTTCCTTTAGAAATCCTTTTATTCATTCTTTGAGAATTTCATAAAATGTATTTTGGTCATATTCCCATCTCTATCCCAACTCTATTTAACACTCTTCCCCCTTCATGTCCTGTATTTTTTTTTTTTTTTTTTTTTTTTTTTTTTTTTTAGGTTTTTTGAGACAGGGTCTCCCTGTAGCCTCAGCTGTCCTGGAACTCAGTGTGTAGATCAGACTGGTCTCCATCTCACAGACATCCTGCCTGACCTCTATTGTATTTTTAAGTCCTATTTTGTCTAATCTGTATCCCCAGAATGCTCTGGGGTGTCCATCCCAGGGAGCCTGGTCAGGCTAACCGGCGTCATACCTTTAAAGAAAACTGACTTTCCCTCACCCAGCAGCTATCAGTTGCATTATTTCTTAAAGCAAAGATTGTTTTAAATGCTCAGGAAGGGGCTGGAGAGATGGCTCAGTGGTTAAGAACACTGGCTGTTCTTGCAGAAGACCCAGGTTCAAATCCCAGACCCCACATGGGAGCTAACAACTGTCCGTAACTCCAGTTCCAGGGGATCCAACTGCTTCTTCTGTCCTCTGCATGCATTGCACGACAAGGGTGCACTTACCTACATGCATGCAATACACAAATACACATGAAATAAAAATAATAAATAAAATACATTTTAAAATGCTCAGGAAGTTCCTCCTGGCAGCACTATATGTGGCATTCAATGTCCTGTCGGTCCCATTAAGGACTTCCTAATTAATTGCCTTCCCTGGCAGAGAGTTGGGAGCTCCTTTGCCTGGCTTGTAGAACCTCCATTCAGAAGTGCAAATAGTTCTTCAAAATAAACTTCACTAAGAAGTATTGATCAGCTAACGTGGGGCCTTTTTTTTGCTGTAGTTTTCTTTTTTACTGTTTCGCTTTAAGAAACATTGTTTTATACTTTTCAAAATTAACATAGACCTTTTTGCCCCAGTTTTAATATTTTAACTCTCTATAAGATTGATATTGAACCCATATTGCATTTTGTGAGTTAGTGTTCTAGTTTGCTTTTCTATTGCTGTGATAAACACCATGACCTAAAGCAACTTCGGAAGGAAAAGGTTTACTTCTTATATTTCCAAGGCACAATCCACCTTTGAGAGATGTCAGGCGGGAACTCAAGGCAGGAACCTGGAGGCAAGAGCTGAAGGAGAAACCATGGAGGAGCACTGCTTACTGGATTGCTCACCTGACTTACTTACGTAGCTCAGGTCCACTTACACAGGGATGCACTGGTGGGCTGGGTCCTCCTATATGAATCAGCAATTAAGAAAATATCTCTACCTGGGTGTGGTGGTGGTACATGCCTTTAATCCCAGCACTTGGGAGGCAGAGGCAGGCAGATCTATGTGAGATGGAAGTCAGCCTGGTCTACATAGCTAGCAAGTTCCAGGCCAGCAGGGGATACAGGGAAACACTGTGTGTGTCTGGGGGAGGGGGGGATGTAAAGAAACAAAGGAAATACTTCCAGACATGTCATATAGGCTAATCCTAAAGAGAAAATTCCTCAATTGGGGTTCCCTCTTCCCATGAGTCTGGTTTGTGTCAAGTTGACAAAAACAAAGCAGCACAGATGGGTAATTAATTCATCTTGCTGCTTTATTTTGTGACCCCAAACCTCAGAAAAGTGTGAGGGATAAAATAATGCTAGAGTGTGGAAGGTAATTAAGATACCCCTAACTTGCTTCGGAGACATTAAGGGGCAACAGTAATTGGGGCCTGCTTTGTTTCCATTATTGCCAACTGTTAATTGCTTACTATGACTAGATCTGCTCAGCAATAATACATACACAAATACTACATAAGTCTCATATTAACAGAAGTAATGCTGGTTTAACTTTGACTTTTGGCTCTAGTGAGGACTTAATTTCTTGTTAAAATTTAGAGTTTTAGGAGAGACAATTTGAAAATGTGGTCTGAATGCTTACAAAATCACAGAGTGAATTTGAAAACATGGATATCTTTAGTATAAGGAAGAGACTAAGCTTGTAATAAATTCATCATGTTCTATTAATTTTTAAAAATAAGGGTATTCTTAATAAATACCCCATTCAACATTAGTCATTATATTCTTTTGATGTTCTTTTAAAGTATTACTAGAGGTAAAATATTTTATCAGCATAAAACTATTCTTCTTTCAGGTTTTGCTCGGAATCTCTCAGAGGGCAATAATGCTAATTACACGGAGTATGTGGCTACCAGGTGGTACCGATCCCCAGAACTCTTACTTGGGTGAGTTATGTCCCCAAAATAGAGTGACTTATATACATTTCTTGATCTTTTATCTTGGCTTTCGGATCACCTATGGAAAATAAATACCTTGTTTAATATATATCAGTTGCATATTCACTGTAAAAACTACCTAAGAACTTAATGATGTGAAATAAACATCATTTTATTTATCACAGTTATGAGTATCTATAATTTAAGTTCAGTTGAGTGACTTCCCTTGGCAGCTAGAGTTGGCTGGCAGATCATTTGGGAGCTAGTTGGTGTAGAGGGCTTCAGCTGGTGTCTAACAGATTTTTTTTCTCTACATGGGTGTATTCATGGGTGCTTGTGGGTGTATGTGGAGGCCAGAGGTGAACCTTGAATCATTCCTCAAGTGTTTACATTTTTTTGAGACAAGGTCTCTCACTGGCCTGGAACTCACCAATTTAGGCTATACTGGCTGAACAGAATGCCACAGGGATCCTTGTGTCTCTGCCTCTCCAGCACTGGGATTACAAGTGCATGTCACAGTGTCCAGTATTCTTATGTCAGTCTGTGGAATTGAACTCAGGTAATTATACTTGCAAAGCAAGCACTTTGCCAACTGGGCCATCCTCCCAGCCCCCATCAGTTCATCTTTAATCCTTGAGGCCTGATCTGTCAGTAGGCTAGTCCAAGTTTCTAAATGTGATAGAATTCTGTGCAGCAAGAAGTTCAGCCCCAAAGCAAAGGTGCTTTCCAAGCTTCTGTTTTTACGGCTTTTGCCTTCTTGGCCAAAGCCTATCTCATGGCCAAGCCCTGATTCATGGTTTTAATGGGAGAAATATCAGAGATACATTACAAAGGAACAGTTTGACATTCTGACTTACCTGTTAACACATACCTAACAAGTAGGTCTTACATTCAGCCACTTTGCTAGATACAGGGCAAATACTGAATCAATTGCCAGTTTTCTTCCAAACAATGTAAATCCTGTTTGATGATAAATGGCTACTTAGACTCATCGTGCATTGCTGATTTTGTCAGCAACATCTCCACATCCATTCACTTTGTGCTTACCTTTCCAGTTTCAGTTCTCTATCATTCAATTCTTAACACCAAAAAATATCTTCTGAGATTTTTCTTTTTTCTTTTTTCTTTTTTTTTTTTTTTTGAGTCAGGGTCCTCCTGTAGCCCCAACTGACCTGGAACTCACTATGTAGATCAGGCTGGCCTCGAACTCAAAGAGATTCGCCTGCCTCTGCCTTCCAAGTGCTGGGATTAAAGGCGTGTGCCACCACACCTGGCTAAGATTTTTCTTTATTTTTAATGTGCTTCAACTTTAGAGCCCAAAAAGGAGCCTGTAGTCTGCATCTCCATCACATAGTCTCATTAATAATTTTCTACCTATCCTAATTGTAGTATTTTTCTTATTTCCTAAAGACACTAATTCTTTCTTTGGGATTACCCAAGAATGGAGAAAGAAAGCACATGCTAACAAATAAAAATAGTCATATTGGTAACAATGGCAAGTACACAAATTTAGGTTTTATCACATTTCTTTAGTGTACCATACATGTTTCTGAGAAATATGAGAAATTTAATTCCTAAAAGATACTATTTTATGCAATAGCAATATAAGCATCTATTTTTTTCTGAATAGTATATTGACTATATGTTTGCTACTGAGAGTTTGTTGGATGTTAACTATGAATTTCTTAGTGTTTGCCAACCATCTGATGGTAATTCTTGTTTTTTTTTACTAACTTAGAGCCAATAAAAATTATTGGTATTAGTTTTTTAAATTCACTATTTTCTTAAATCAAATGCTAGCTTTGCCTACAAAGCAAATAATAGTGACTCTACTGTCCCATTATTTGTGTGGACCGAGTTTTAGATTTTTTGTGCGTGTGTATGTGTGTGCACATTTGTGCATATATGTATGCGTGTTTGTATAACGGCCAGAGGTTGGGCTGGAGAGATGGCTCAGTGGTTAAGAACACTGACTGCTCTTGTAGAGGACCTGGGTTTGAGTCCCAGCCACATGCCAGCTAACAACCATCCATAACTCCAGTTCCAGGGGATCCAACATCCTCTTCTCACCTCTACAGGCATTGCATGACACGGGTACACTTACATTCAGGCAGTATACTCATATAAAATTAAAAGTAGTAAATAAAATATTTTCTTAAAGACCAGAGATTGACCTTGGGTGTCTTCTCTGTTGTTCTCCACCTTGTTTTATTGAGACAAAATCTCTCACTGGACCTGGAGCTTATTCATTGGTCAGACTGGCTGGATAGTGAGCCCCTGGAATCCTTTTGTCTATGCTTCTCAGTCCTGGATGTATAGGCATATAGGATTATATACTGCCTTATTCACTTTTTACATTGGTTCTTATGATTGAACTCAGGTCCTCATAGCAAGCACTTTACTCACTAAGGCATGTCCCCAACCCCTTATGCTAATTTTTTATTTTGGATTTAGGATTGGTTTTCTTTGTGCCCACTTGTGTTTCTCCTGGGTACCTTTATGGAATCACTGGGAAGTATAGTCTATTTCTTTTGAAGGGAGTGGAGTTTGAATTTACTGGATGTGGTTTACCAAAGAAGTGAATATGAAAATCATGCAGTATGAATTGCATCTAATGATTCAAGTATGATAGAAGAAAAGGACTCTATCGAATGTGGTTTGTTTATAAAATAGTCCCCAAGGAGAGTATATTGTGAGGCTAACTTTATTATGTATCTTCAGAGAGTGTTTACTCTCTAATACTACCTACTGGAAAACTAAGGTTCTGTTTAGATATGTGTGGTAGCCATCAGGAGTAGATAGACACAATCCAACTAATTTAAGCTCAGTTGCATTAAGTGATGTGTCATGTACTAGTTTAAGTACCATACTATTTGTGTAAAAATTCCATTGAAATCAGTTGATATTTGGTTTTACATAAGAGTCTACATGTTTATACATTCCAAGGATTTTGTCCTTGATATCTGAAATAGTTCTAGCTGCATAAATTATTCAAATCAGATGACAGGATTAAAATAGCTTTTCATGGATATGTAAGACTTTCCATAGTTTTTTCCATCTAGTACCATGGGATGGGTTTTGTTTATCTCAAACAATATTTTAAAAAATCAGTATACTTCCTTCCCCAACAAGCTACCAGAAAGGTCTAAATGAGGTCTCCTTGTAGTTTTATGTTTTTGTGGGAAGGAAATGAGGCAAATGAAATATGACTTATTGTTGCAGTAATTTATTAACCTAGAAGTATGTTCTCTATGTTAAAACAGTGCTTTTATTTAAAATTTTTGTATTATGGTATTCTAGAATTTCATTTCAGATTCTTTTTCAGATATTTTATTTTGGCTTTCTTTTTCTAAGACTTGTAATATTTATGTTTGAAACATATACATATGTGTATATATGTATATATATATAATATATATGAATTCTTTAGTCTGTCAAATAATTTTATTTTAGGCTTTAGATACCATGGTATAAAGCTGTTTGGGGCAGCCTTAGACTTTCATTTATGGCTTCCATTTGTAGCAAGCTTTGTTCCTAAAGCTCTCTGGTAAATTCAGGTCTTAGAGGAGAGCTACAAGCCCCTAAGTACACTAAAAACATATCAGGAAAGTACATTTATATTGAAGTAAACTATGTTAACTGTTGGAAATTGTGGTACTAAGCAATCAAATGTTAAATAAAATTCATTATTTAAGACACATGAGCCAGTGGTGCATTCTACCAAACTAAACTCAAAAATTGATATAGTGTAACTCTTGACATTTAGAGAGCTTACAGTATAATTATATTTCTTGGGAACATTTCATTCCTGAATTGAAGTGTCACTCATCCAATGTGTACAGTACATTAAGGTTTATAAAGTCATTCATGTTCAAGATATACCCAGATTTATTGACCAGGCATAGTGTTGCAACACTCAGGAGGCAGAAGTAAGCAGATCTCTGTGAGTTCAAGGCCAGTCGGGTTTACATAGTGAGTTACAGGTCAGCTGAGGCTACACAGAGAGACCCTGTCTCAAAATGAATGAATAACTAAATAAATAACCCAGATTTCAAATTAGTATATACTGACTAATATTCAACTAAAGATTCAACTGATATCTTTATTGGTGTGGATTTATTGACTTGTGTTATGAATTTTTACTTGGATGGCTCTAATTCCTTATTTCTAATCTCGCATTTTCTAGTGGCCTGTTTAAATTCCTTAAGTACATGTATGCTTTAAATCTCAACTCAGCCCAAAATGATTCGGAAATTATTAAAGCATTTTGTTTCTTCAGTTGTCAAGATCATCTCTTCTTTTGCTCTTCAGAGCTCCCTATGGGAAGTCCGTGGACATGTGGTCAGTGGGCTGTATTCTTGGGGAGCTTAGCGATGGACAGCCCTTATTTCCTGGAGAAAGTGAAATTGACCAACTTTTTACCATTCAGAAGGTGCTAGGACCACTTCCATCTGAGCAGATGAAGCTCTTCTATAGTAATCCTCGCTTCCATGGGCTTCGGGTAAGAGGTTTTGCTAAAACCTAAAATGAAATCAATCTGGGAGTGTTTAATTTGTTGTTCCTTGCACAGTGGAATGTTAAGCTACACGTTGCACTTTTCCCTTTCTTGTCACAGTGTTTTTAATTCTCATAATATTTTATTTCTGAATCATATAGTATTTGTGAATTAAGAAATGTTTACAATTGGAATGTAGGTATAGCAGATTTTTTCTAATCTGTAAATTCTAGTTTTTCGAAATTTTTCTAGCATATACATTATTATATTCTAAACCTTGGTTATCTGGCATTGTCTCTTTATTCAAAATATTAGTGTCTCCAGAACATTGAAAATGCGTGAATGGCTGCCGTTTGCTTCAGGGAATGTATTTGTAGTGATTTGAGGGTGGATATGAATACTTGCATTCTGAAGATTTAGAGGCTCTGTTCTAGCAGATATTTCTTGTATATTGACAATAAAACATTAAATCATTTTAGAAATCAGAAGCCTTGGGCAGCTACCTTTGTGCAAGACTTGTTTGCTGCAGATATAACAAAAAGCATCTTCAAAATCATAAGCATTACTCCAATGAGGAAAACTGTGATTTCCAGAGGCACCAAATTAGAGTAACCAGTGACTTATAGGCTGCTTCTCTCTTCTTTTAAAAGCAACAACTGTGTCAAACAGTTTGACACCAAAGTGTCAATTGGTATTCATTGTGGAAACCATAAAATAATTTCATCCTCACTTTTCTTATTCAGTGTAAATGTATGATTCTCAAACCATGTTATCTTTTTTAAAATAATATTTTTATTTCTTCTTTGAAAGTTTTTTTACATTTATATAATGCATTTTGATCATATCCATCCATCATTATCTCCTTCCAACTCTCCCTTAGTGCTCTCCTTCCTCTCCGCCCTCCCAAATTCATGTCTTCCATTATTAATTATTTTTGTTGTTACTGATAACACTGAGTCCAGTTTGGTGCTACCCATATGCACATGAGTGTGGGGCCAACCCCTGAGGTATGCATAACCAACTGGTAGCTAGGTAGCTATGTCTGTGAAGGAAAGTGACCCTCCCTCCCTCAGCAGCCATCAACATGGTATGATGAGCACACCATGTTATCTTGTCATTTGTAAAGCCCTTTGGCTTTTTTTTTTTTTTACCTTTTGGACCTCAGTTAATTTCTCATCAACAGTCTTCCTGCTCATACATGAATGCACAACACAACCCCAACTCCATTGAGTTCAGCCAACTCAGAAGAAGAAAGGAATGTACATAGGTATAGATCGTATTTTTTCATTCCTTGCTTTTCTGCTTTCACTTCCTCTTCCAAATGTGTCTGAGTTACCTCAGGCAAATTTTTTCCTTGCATTTTTGTTTAGGTTACAAATAGTACTACGGTTTAACAGATTGATTTCACAGTCAGCGAACATTTGTCATACTATATGCTAAAAATGTGACAATAAATACGACTTGCTTTTGGCCTAGTAGAAAACAAAATCTATTATATTTGCAAAATAAATGTAGTCATAATTACTGAATTTCTGTTTGACTGAGAATGAATGCAGACTCCTTGCCTGTGAAGTTTCACCTGGCAGAGGCCCTCTGGCTCCCTGTCCCTGTCTCCATGGCTATCCCTCCAAATTCTCATTGGACTTGCCTATTCTTTGGCCTCCATGGACATCCCATGGTTTTTGAACCTCATGAAATTGGGATCTGTGATTTCTTGGGAAGGTTCTTACTATGTCTTCCCTCTTCTCACTCTGTAAATTTCAACTCAAAGAATATGCTTTCACTCTTCACCCTCCAAACCAGTCTCCTTTCCTTCATAGTCCCTTTCTTTTTTCAGTCATACCACTTATCACAACATGGAATTATTTCATCTGTTTAATTGTTCCTTATTAATTTCTGATTCTCCTCTACTAACTTATAAGTTTCCCAAGGTCAGAAATCACATTATCAGTGTGCTTACAACATTGAACATATGAGCTGGCTTACCTTCTTTTCCTGTTGCTGTGATAAAATACCTTGATGAAAGCACCTTAAAGAAGAAAGGGTTTATTTTGGCTCATAGGGTTTTTTTGTTTTGTTTTGTTTTGTTTTGTTTTGTTTTGGTCTTTTTGAGACAGGGTCTCCTTGTAGCCCCAGCTGTCCTGGAAATCACTATGTAGACCAGGCTGGCCTCAAACACAAAGATCCACCTACCTCTGCCTCCCAAGTCCTGGGATTAAAGGTATGCGCCACCATGCCTGGTGGCTCATAGTTTTGGTTATAGTCCATCATGACCTGGAAGTCACAGCAGCAAGAGCTTGAGGGAGCAGGTCACATTTCAGCTTTAGTCAAAAAGCAGACAAAGACAAATATATGCATTACTGTTGCCTTTCTTCATTATATACTGTTCAGGATCCCCTGCCCAGGGAATGGTCCTGCTCAAAGTTAAAATAGGTCTTCCACATCAATTAAGGTAATCAAGATAATTCTCCACAGGCCCATCTTCCTGATGATTCTAGATGCTGTCAAGTTGACAGTGAGCACTAATCATTATAGGTTTAGTAGACATTCCTGAATATTTGAATAAGTGACTGAACCAGCATTCAACTCCAGTCTTATTTCCTCCCTCCTCTCTCTAATGTTTATTTCACCCTGTCAGCCATACTTGAGTTATTTTTAAACTGATCTCTTGAACTTTCTCAAACCACACATTTAATTCTATCTCCCTTTTGCTTAAAATCTTCTATGATTGTTAATAAAGTCTAAATTCCTTAGGGTAACATTAAAGACCTTCCAGCATCATCTTCACCTGTCTTGATCCCTTTCCTATGTTCTCCAGCCACCTTGAACCTCCCACCATTTCTTTGACTTGACGTGTTTTCTTCTGTATTGCTACATTGCCATATCTCTAGTGCTCTCAATACTCTCCTAGACTCAGACCAAATCTCCTATTTCCACGAAGCCCTAGAGAGTATTCTGTCTAGTATTCTGATCTCTAATTACACTCTGATCACATTTTTTTTTCTGTCACAACCATTGCATTCTCATTTCAGTAGCTGTTGGCAAATATGTATCCTTACTGGACTAATAAAATTCTTGAGGAAAGGAACTGTTGTTCCATTCATAGCACAACTAGAATAGTTTTCATAGTGTTGAATAAATAGTTGACTGAAGGATCTTAATGTCAGTAAACTTAGTCTATTGGCTGATTTATTACTGGCCCAATTAAAGAGGTTCTAGGCTACAGTTTCTGTATATGAACAGATTTTTGACATTTCTAGGCCTTAATAACTAATTAAGCAGCAGCTAAGGAATTAAGACTCCCACACTTTATTTTTCTGTTCTTTTTTAAAGAATACTAAAATAGAATATGCCGATAAGCTGAGATAAAGGAAGGAGTAGAGGGATGTAATTAAAGGCAGCATACGGAGAAAAGGACCAATTGATGGAGTAAGTCTTGAGAGATATTTTGTAAACATGGAATCAAGACACAAATAGAAAAACATGGAAAGAAGAAAAATCTTTTCTCTAGCAGATAGGATAAAGAGCAGAAGATAGTTTAATGTATATTTGGAAGAATGAAGTATTTTTTCCTGCAGTTTTCTTTGTACAGAAATCTTTATGGCAGCTTTGAAAAAGATTTGTAATAATTTCTAACTTAACGGATAAATGTGTACTTATTATATACTTTATGATGTCTGAAATTTATACCTTGTGTACATTGTAGGATGACTAGATCTAGCTAGTTACATATGCATTATTTCACATATTTATCATTTCTGTGGTTAAAATACACTACCTCTGCTCTCCAAGAAAAGCATAAAATCCTATCACTGGCATTTATTTGTAATATTTTTATGTTTTTAGCTCTTATTAAAGTTTTATCCTGTAAATTTTTAAAAAAGAATACTTTTATTGATTCTTTGAGAATTTCATACAAGGTATTTTGATCACTTTCAGGCCCCCTCCCCCATCTATCCCACCTACTATCCCCTAGACTTCATGTCCTCTATTATTTTTAAAGGTCTACCATGTATAATTTGTGTTCCCCAAGTGCTTTTGGATGTGGGTTCATCCCCTAGAGCCTGGTAAACCTACTTGGCATCACATCCTTAAAGAAAACTGATTTTATCATGCAAAATAATTTTTATTATTTTCTTTTTTTTAATTTTATTTATTATTTTTAATTTGTATGTAGGCATGTATTGCCTGCATGTAGGTAAGTGCACCCATGTCGTGCAATGTCTGCGGAGGACAGAAGAGGCTTTTGGATCCTCTGGAACTTCAATTACGGACAGTTGTTAGCTGTCTTGTGGGTTCTGGGATTTGAACCAGGTCTTCTGCAAGAACAGCCAGTGTTCTTAACTGCTGAGCCATCTCTCCAGCCCTTAAATTTTTTTTTTTGAGTCTACAGTCTCGAACCCAGGTCTTCTGAAAGAACAACCAGTGTTCTTAACCACTGAGCCATCTCTCCAGCCCCCCATTATTTTCATATATATATATATGTATATATATGTATATATACTCATACCTTGGTCTTATCTGCCCTTATTAGCCTGCCCCATCCATCTTCTTCCCTCTTGCTTGTCCCTTTGGTCCCCCCAAATATTCCTCTTCTTGTTTTCTTGTCATATACATGTGCACACACATGCACACTCATACATGCACACACATGCACAAATGTATCTAGATTCTGCATATGAGAGAAAACATTTGATATTTTGTCTTTCTTTTCCCTATTATCCTGTCTTATGCCCCCTGCCTCCAGACCTCTTCCTTCTGCCTCATAGTCCCTCTTTCTACTTTCATACATGCATATAT